TCAGTCATGTACGTTGATATTTTCTGCATCAATGAATACAAATCGATATTCAGACGCTTCTTGTTGAGATTTGTTCTTTGATGATTTTCTTTGTCATCGGAATCAGAAACCTTCATTCTTAGTTTCTTATCATCCACTTTCTTATTGTTGCACTGAAACATCCCAAAAATTAGGTCCAGTTCGACCAATTGCCACATGCAAATTAATGTTCTCTACCCTCATCTGTCAATCAAGACAAGCTCGTCAACAAATTGAATTCAGTTGATCGGTAAGATGACGATCCTTGATTCGTTGTCCAACTAAATTAGTCAACTGAATTATTAGCAGCAGTATTCAACTAAATTATTAGCCTGCTTCTGCTCTGTAAAGACTTTTCAAACTTTATGCAAGCGCCCGCTGATACTCAGAAATAGCCAAATAATTGTGCTGATCGTATCAGCAGTCATGGTTGTCTTGTCTTCATAAGTCCGCAGTTGAATGTGTTCGAATATCAGCAAATTTCGTCTCCTATGACTGTGACACTCCTAATTTAAACGTGATCCGAGAGAATGTTGAGCATAGAAAAAAGCCAATTGCCATACTTCTTGAGCCCATCGTACTTCTTATAGTATGTTGAATTTCAGTGTAGGAATTCATTACAAATAATTCACTTATTTATTTAACGTGAGCGTTTCGTTTGCGAATATTCATATTCTATCAGTCATTCTCTTTCTAAAGTGTTTTTTCGTTTAAAAATACACTTGACAAAATACCCGTTTCCCATTTCAAAACGACTATTACTTCTGATGCTCATTATATCGCTATTTTATTATTGCTTTATGTTTCAGTTCCATTCTACTTTTGTTCTAAGCACTTTTCCTTTTCATACTTTTAACGACATATCGAACGTTTTAATGTGCTGAAACTTCGTCGAATAATACCTATTTTAATGAACCTGCAAAAACAGTGAAGGTTTCGTAATTTAACGAGCAGTGACTATTTTTAGATACAGAAATTGAAAGTGAAATGTTTCAGCATTCGATAAGTTTGAGTTTTGGTTCGAACGTGTGTCAATATCTTTGTAAGTTTTATAACTCAAAGCTAACTCATTTAAATTAAGTTATTCCGAGTGATTAATATTGTTTCTTCGCTGAACGTCATGAAATGCTCGAATATTCATCAACATAATCTTCTGCTGACGGTTTTCATACTTTCCACTTCACTTCTTTGCACTATCAGGTATTTTGAGCTTTGTTCATTGACTCGATTCGTTGAAGTGATCAGCTATTCTCACACCAATAAGCATGTTCTGTGCAGTGATGAGTGATTCTTACAAAATGATGCTGCTCACTCAATGCTCACGACGCGTTAGAAGTTTTTGAGATCTGATGTTCACTGCTGACAAATTTGCTCTGAATTGCCCGATCACGTCCCACTACATAAATGGTTTTGCAATTGCTCGCTTATCGCTCCTGCTTATGTTTTGCTCACTTGATTATGACTACTATTGGATCCACACTCCGTCCCTTCAAAATAAGCCCTTCAAAATCATCAGTCTTGATTACGACTGCAGTTGCTAATTATTGTTAGAACAAAAACAGAAGCAATGTTCGGATTCAGCGTCATCTGATGACTAAATTAAAAGTGGTGGTAAATTTGTAGAAAGGGAACAGTGTGAACTAGAGTAGATCAGATTTGAGAAGCATTGGAGTAATGGATGGAATGGATATCAAGCCGTCACAGAGAGATCAGCATAGAACGGAGCTGCTTTAGTATATCCGTATAAAACGAGATTTTTCGAGCGTGAATTCAATTCTCCGTTCATGTTTACACATCTGACATCATAGTGCTATTTTCGAGCAATTCTAATCACTAACTCCTCAGAATTCTTCGCTCCATTAGACGTTCGCTTATCGTCGTCATTGTTTCTGCTCTGGTCTGTTCACTTTCAGTTCATTAGGGAGGTGTCGTAAGCACTAAAGTTATCACTAATGAAATTTTTATCGGAAATTTGTTCATTCATTGCGATTGCTTCTGACATTAATTTGGAGCACCGTTTGGCTTGTATGAAGCAAATTTGCTTCGGATAAAGCGTATGTATTCGTGCAGTACTCTCCAAAATTATTCTGCGACTATTCTACATTCATTGATCCTTGTGGATTTTGACAAACAGAGATTAGTGATTTCTTTTGTGGCCAAAGCGAGAAACTTTGAAGTTGATAGTGCAGCGGATAAAACCATTTTCTTGGATTATGGTTGATATTAAGATATCATTGATTTGTTCAAAAGCCAAAGCCATTCAGCATCTCATGTTATCGTATTCAACGGGTGTAGGCTTATTGGGCAAAGCTTCTATCCATAGCATAGTAGACGACAAACACGAGTGCTTCAGCCCAACAACAACACACCAATTGACTCAGTCCAGTAGACGATCGAATCGACAAATCAACTCAGAAATCCTTTTCAACTGAACCACTCAAACAAATAATCTCTTGAGTGACTCGTCGTTTTTTTTCCACAATCGGTGTCACATTCTGAATCAATCATGAAATGAAAGCAAACTGGTCGGAATTGTTCTCAAATGAAAAAATGATTTAAGGAGATGATAGAAGAAAACCTTCTCATGCTTAATAACAGAGGCTCTGAATTATAGTCAGTGCTATTTTTTTCCATCAATTCTAATCACTGCTATTTTTTGTGCATTAAAATGAAAACGAAACTTTGTATCGACAGAACCGTAAAATTTGACCTGAAAGCAGTTGAGATGAAGTGAACGGAACATTTTAATGCTAACTGTTTGTTCTTGTTTGCAGCACGGATCGACTGCTTAAGCTCGGGAGTTTTGAGGATAAAACTCATGACATATCAACAAAGTTGTCAAACGTTACAAGTAGTCAAATATCATCCGGAAATAGCCCACCAGTCCACTATAACAACGCATCAGGATTGCTTGCCGATCTCCTCAAGGATTACGATATCAGGTTGCGTCCAGGATTTGGAGGTGAGTTAGTTCAAGGCATTGATTAACGTGTACATATCTCAGGCAAGTCTGTTATAAGTGCAACGATAAAATGTCATAACGGATAAATGCACTGCTCTAAAGTCAGCTGAATTCACCATGAAAAGTTTTATCTTCATTCGTTATCACAAGAGCAATTTTGAGTGCAGTGATAACCATGTGGAAGATAATTGAAGAGTGAAGAATATTATCGTTGTTACATCCGATGAAATAACTCCCTTTCCGTAACGGCAAACTAATTGAACCACATCTAATCGAATAGGCTATAATTTAATCGCTAACAGAATATTCGATGATAAATACCTATTTGAAAATTGTTGACGCATATAGGCTCTCGACTATGAATTAGTTGTTGTGCACATTCGAAGACTGAGAATAACACTCGTTATTTGAGAGTGTGAAGTGAATCTTTTGCTGATTATGAGGCATTTTAAAAGGAAAGCTGGGAGAAATGAAAATGTTTTCGAAATAAAAGGTGAAATTGACATTAGAGCAACTAAGTGAAATGAACTTATCTTTATTTTGGCAAACATGAATTCACTTTTGTTGATGATGTGGATAAATATAAGATGTTCGGTGGGCTTTCGAACTGAATATCAGACTGTTTTCAGGTGACGCTTTAGTATTGACTATGGATATTATTATTGCTTCATTCGATTCGATGTCGGAAGTCAATATGGTACGTTCCGACTACTTCATTGCCACTTGGCTAAATGTTTCTGCAGAGAAGACCGAACGAAAAGCTCGCAGACTTGCCTTCGTCGATGAATAAAGTTGTGATGATAGCTGTTTGGATGTTATAGGATTATACAGTAACGATGTATTTGCACCAGTATTGGCGTGATGAAAGGTTGTCGTGGTCACCGCAATTCGATATCGACGATATGACACTATCCGGCGAATTCTCTCAGTATGTCGTCGTTTCATGTAAAAACCGTTATTCCATTCCAAACTTCATCGTTCTCAACTGCCAACTCTCTTCTCGATCTCATTCAATTCACCTTGCAATACTTCAGTACTCCTTAAATTACATCAGTCGCTTGATAGCTCATGTGATTATTAATTCATCGAATTTATCTGCACCAGTGCAGAAACACGTATCAGGACTCGCATGCTTGACGGACATTTATAAATGATCAATAGAAAGAATAAACTGACAGGCGGAATACGCAGAAATGATGCGGAAGTACATGCAAACTAAACATGAGGCGCCCAATGAACTGCGAAAGATGTGAGGTTTTGGTTGTTGAAATTTCAGACACATTTGGGTACCAGATACGTTTTTGGCCAACGATAAGCAATCTTTTTTGCACGATGTAACCGAGAAGAATAAAATGATACGACTGACAAGAGAAGGACGAGTTGCGTACGGTATGAGGTGAGCTTCGGATCTTATTGACTCTGAATTGTTTCGCGAAAGGCAAACAATAATGACTAGCAATTTGATTGCCATTTCCAGTGTGAGCTCTTTTTTCTGAAAATATTTTGAATTAATTGTTTGAGTGCACGATTCCTTAATCAATGAGTCATTTCCCCAGAACTAATGAACTAATGTTCGTTCATGAAACATTGTGCCCACAGTCAAAACTGATACGAAAGAACTCAGTCTTTTAAGAGTTGCAAATCAATTCATTATTCTCCAGTGATATTCAGATTCACGTCAACTCTTGCCTGTCACATGGATTTGCGTAACTACCCACTTGATTCACAAAATTGCACTGTCGAAATCGAGAGTTGTAAGTTTCAGCGAATGTGATCTTGATTTCGTTCACAGCGACAATCTTATAATCATCGAATCGCAAGTTTGGAAATTGCAACACACTCAGAGATACGAGTGGCTCGTTTAGTTTTTATTAGCATGGTTCTCATGAGGGGTGAATTCACCCATTATGGGTAATTTGGAGGTGTCAAGGGGTAGTGGAGGGAGTCGGAAAATTAGTATTTTGTGCAGTTCTTATTTTATGATAGAACGTCATTGTGATGGTGCTTTTTAACTCGAATAT